AATAGTAGGAGAAAAGTACCCAAAGTAGACAATTAGTAGTAAACATTAATTTGTAAGTTCTGTTGTATTTGCCTTGAACTTGGCATTTTAAATGAAATATTAAGAAATATACGTGAATTATGTAATTTATGTGCTAGTTAGCGGTACAAAAACTGCGAAAGCTCTCAAAAATAAAATAAAACTATTAAGCATTGTATTTAAATAGCATATTTTGAAGTTTTTATATTTTAACTAGTTGAATGTGTTTTATACGTATACAAATAAATACGTTGTCCGAAAACTAATATTTTTTTTTACTTTTGCAAGTAAGCTACTATTTTTGAAGCAAATTTGTAAAGAAGCAACACGGTTGCGGTGCTAAAGGAGCTATGGGAGCGAGACAACTGTCAATTTATCGAACCTTTAATTATTGAATCATGACCACCTTGCATAAATTCACCTTGGATCACTCATTTTTTGTACATATTTAAAGTTTGCGACAGTGAACTAGACAGCGCTGATGATGGCATTTTCACAACACCAAACTACCCCAATTCCTATTATGAACACATGGAATGTACTTTTACCATACGTGGACCTGTGAACTCCGTTGTACACATAAATTTTACTGATTTTTCGATAAGCAAAAAAGATGACAGTCCTGAATTTGGTAGCCCCTCCTCTAAGGCACTGGATAATTCTACACCCATAACTGGCGGCGAAAGTTTTGTTGATGTAATTTGGTCTAATATAGTACATACTTATTGCCAGGAATTAATTATGAATGTTGTAATTGCACAGGTATATGTATCGAAAGATATTAGACAGCGATATTATGAAGGTACATACCTTCATCTTGTATCGGAGAAAAATGTGATGCGTGTAACATTTCATGGAGGTACAAATCAACAAAAAGCCCGCGGAATTCGTGTTGAATACTATTTTCAGGAAATGAAATGTGGAGGTGTTCTCACTGGAGAAAGCGGTCATTTTTCTCATGAAGGTGTAGCAGGGCCTTCGGAGGAGAACTGTGAATGGATTATCGAAGCGTCAAAAGGAAAAAATATTCAACTAAATTTACACTTGTGGCGTTGGAATATTATTAAATGCAGTCAAGAAGATGTAGATGTTGATGTATATTCAAATGATACCTCCACCGGTTCGCAACTTTTATTAAGGTAATATAGTAGTTTGGCTATTCCGAAAACTAACATATTTGATAAAAAATTATTTCCTAGTTCTTGTGGTCAAATCAAAGAAATCAATGAGACATTTCATGTTAATACAATGACTGTATTCTTGCATTTGAGGCGCAATATAAACACCATGTTAGAAATCACCGCAAGCTTTAAACTAGTTGATAACAAAGAAGGTAAGAGAATGTGAAGAAGAGATGTAATAATTATTATTATATAATTATATACAACTAGTTTATCCTTTAATATATTATTATTATATAATTACTAGCTCATACCCGCGGGTTTCACCCCGCGCTTTTATGCAAATATGAAAAATAATTTAATGATGATAGATTTTATTTCTGTGCCCATTTCGTTATAAGCGAGTTAAGGTAATTAGGCCGTTTAAAACTATGAAATTATAAAATCTCGTCTGCGCGCTAGGCATAGAAAGATATCAATCCCTCTAAGTTTACCATAAAATGGTTCCAGGTATACGACGCGTGAACGTGTAACCTTCTTGGAGGTGCCACGGTGGGTTCTAATATTTCCAGCGCAAATTTAGTAACCTGGCCTTGATGAAATACCACTTCTCATTACTGTAGCAAATACCTCAAGAGAGCTTTAGATTATAAGGGCGAACCCGGCTCTCCCTTTTCCATTTAATGAAATTTATTCTGTCAGTACGGCACTTATAAAATAAATCTCCATAACAAATTTAAAATACTTCGGGAGATTTTCTATCCTTCCAGAGATATTTATTAAGAAGTTTTTAGTATGTATGGGTGGCGACATGCCTTCTTTTTTAATAACTCACATGAGCAGTTGATACATTTTGTATACACAACTCCATACCA